CTGGCTGGGGACACAGCTCCCGTCCCCACGTCAGCACGGGGCAGAGCCCTGATTTTAGCTCCCCTGCCACAGATGGCTGAGCTCCAGCTCCGCAGGGGTGTATTTCCCAGGAGGACCAGTTAATGAATTGCACCAGCCCAGCTCAGCTCCCTCCTCTGCTTAACCCACAGCCTTTGCCCAGGCTGGAAGGACGGTGCTCCCACACCAGCACCAACTCCTTCTCCAGCCCCCAGCAACAGCAGCGAGCAGCAGGGGCTGCTCCAGGAGGAGTGGGGGCCTCATCCCTCCCCAGAGGCTCCTCAAACCCTCTACAAGAGCTCTTTGGAGTGGGACAATAGATGCTTTTCCAGCCCTGGGACAAAGGCGGACGCTGCTGGGGGAGAGGCAGGGCAAGCTGCCCATGTCCCGGCCTGGCAGCCGGTGATCCCAGCCTGACTTGTTCCCCTTGCTGATAACTAGGCTCCTGTAGCGAAGAATTTGAGGGCAGCACCCAGAGACAGGGCATTGCCACCAACTCCTGCAAAGCCCTCCCGAGTGAGGAGCGCGGCTCGGCACAGAGTCCCCTCTCCTACCCAGCGAGGCCGGTAGAAAGATCTTCCCACACCAGCGCCAAATTCCAGAATCGGAAAAAGCTGGAGCGACAGGAGCTGCCTCCTGTTTTGCCAGGACATGGCCTTGGGAGATCAGACAGCACCGAGGGCCAGAGCAGAGGTGCCCTGGGCAAAGCCCACTGTTCCCAGAGGAGCGTGCAGTGCAATCCCAAATCCCTGAAATAAGCAGACCACAAGAGCCCAGGGGGGAAATACCAAGGTTGCAGCGAGGCATCGCACCCTGTCTGCTAATGGGTGCAAAGTCCTTGCGGCAACCACAGCGTCACCGCAGGAATCACAGACATGGGGCGTGCAGGCAGCTTCCCAAAAGTAGAATTTTTATTGACGGTAAGGGAAAACTAAAAACAAAGACAGGCAAAAAGGAGCCGACGATGCACAACTAGCACCTCCCTGTACGGGTCTGACACATCTCTGGTAAGAAGCTGTGCTCAAATTCCCATCATACAGAGTTTCATAAAATAAAAAAAAAGCTTAAGGTTACTACACCTGCAACCTACGGCAGCCACCGGCCCTGGAACACGGTCCTCTGGCCTGGCCAGCTGGGTTGCAGGGGAGGAACACGACTGTTAGCCCCCCAGTACAGCCCCCAGTACGGCTGGGGAGACCTCGTGGAAGTGAGGACCTGCATTTCACTGTGGAAACAGCTTTGCTTTGTCTCCGGGGTTGCTGCCATTCTTCAGGAGCATTTACATGCAAAAAAGAGCTTTGTTTCTTAAGATCTGCTGTTCTTGGTCATTTCCTAGGGAGAAGAGGCTAACCAGGAGCACTTGGAAGGAACAAAGACTCTGCTTCCATAGAAAACCCCTACTAACAAAGCAGGAGAGGGGAAAGTGTGTGCAGCAGGAACTTACCCGTTCAGAAATGGCTCTCAGCGCTGGCAGTCGCTCTGCAGTAACTGCGACGGGCTGTTTCTGACATGACTGCAGTTATCTGCCCCCCTCCCAGGCCCCCCAGGACCTCTCCCAGCCAGAGAGACATGGGCCTCCAGGAGGTGCCCGGGATGTCGGTGTGATGTCTCTATATGACGCATTCAAAACAAAATGTTATTCTTTATCAGCTCAACAGAAACCAGCTTCTCTGTGAAAGTTTCAGCACACAGAGGGCAACTCCAAGCCACAAAGGAAGAAGGAGCATCGACTTTCATCACTGAACTCTGCTTCTAAGCAAATCCATTGCTAAGAGGAGAGAGCGGGCAGGCAGCACAGGGTGCAGGCAGAAAACCTCTCAACTAGCGTTCAGTAGAAACACTATTTATTCACCCCTCTTGGTTACAACTGGGCAGGGTTAAGCGGTTACGGAGGAGGACGCCATGCACTCCCGGCTGCTTCACGTTCTTCATCACAGGAGCGGCTGCTCTTGCAGCGTTTTAGCCCATGTGTCTGTCCTGTGCTCGGGAAAGCTGCCGTTGGCCAGCGTTTGCGTTGCAGTCTGATTAAAAAAAAAATAAATCAAAACTAAATAAATATCGTTCCAAAAGAAGCCAGAGGAGACAGCAAGCCTTTGGTACAACAGCTGCATTTCTCTCTAGCAAGACCCCGAGCCCCAGAGCTGCTGTGTTAGACCCCTACGAACACAGCTGGGGGTTGGCACAGACCCCGCAGAGCCTGTTACACACAAAAACATGGAGCAAACAACAACAGAAACTTTTTGAGAACTCCGGTTTGCTTGTCACAACCCCCGTGACTTTGCTTTGTGCTCTCAGGACAAGGAGAGGTGACAGTCAGGGTTTGGGAGAATCCAAATGGAACAGGCTCACTCCAGGCCAATGGTCTGCACTTTCAGCTGCGCTTGCTTCCTAGTCTTGGCGGTGAAAGCAGACTGCTCTGCACGTACAAGGACAGAGTCGTTTGACCTCATCGTTACTTTGCCACGCTTCCGAAGTGGTGAACCAGGGCCTGGAACGCAGAGGCCACTGCAGCGTCCCTTCCTATGATATATTTTTATATATATATAACCTGCCAAGTCTAATCATTCGCTCAGGTGCATGTCACCAAGAGTCATTTCCCACCATCTCACAACGTATAAAACAGGAGTTATGTGGCTATCGGGAAGGGAGGTTGTTTTCAACTGTTCACTCTCCCTTCCCCTTCCTAGAGAAGGGAGCAGAGGTTATGGGTCAGGTCCAGCACGGCCTATCGATCCATCTCATCCAGCAGTGGGGTGGCATCCCCAGCAATGGACATGGGGGTGCTCTCGATCATGGGGCTGGGGGACGGGCGAGGAGTCAACCTCTGCTTCTGTTTCCTCCGTTCAGCCTCCTTCTCCTGAAGCCACTGCTCGGCCATCTTCCCCCAGTCGATCGCAGCGTGACTGTTGGTCCTGCAACGACATGGGAAGAAGGTGAGGCATGCTAGCGGGAGACCTTCCCCGCGCTCCCTCCCCAAGGGTCGCATGCAGGAAGGTGCAAGGCAACCGCGCCATGCTGGTTCTACAAAAATCAACAAAAAGCAATCAAAATCAGGCACAGACAGATACATGCACCCAGTGTTGGCGCCACTCACTTTGGCTGCTGCCTCTGCCTGGAGCTGGATGATGGCTGCGACTGCGTCTGGGACTGGGTGGACTGGGGTGTGGTGTTGGCCTGGAGTTGGTACTGGGGTGTTGTAATTGGCTGGCTGGGGGTAGTGTAGGAGTAACTGGGGGTCATCAGAGGGGTGGCCACCGGTTGCTGTGCTGGAGTCGTGAAGACCTGCAGAGAGCAGATACTGTTAGGGGACAGAGGGCAAACCCTGCTCGGCTGCAGCCTGAGGTCTGGCATGCTCGGCATTGCCCAACTTGCCCAGGAGGCTGGTGCACGCCCTTGCTGCACGTTCCCAGCCCTGCTGCAGCCCCCCACCTGGGCAAGGAGAGGTTCGCAGTGACCATCGCCCAGGGAATGGGGCTGCAGGGCAGAAGGAACAACATCTTGCCGAGCACAGGGTATTTGTTCCCCTGATCGCCCACCCAACCTGGGCCAGCAGGGCCACCACAGCCTGCCTTCCTTGTACACCCTGCACAGGGTACAAGGGGAGAAGCTTAAGCCAAGCAAAGGTAAGGGCTGCAAGAGATGGGCACAAGACACACTTGGGGCAAGCTAGCAGAAACAACGTCCTGCAGTGGGCATGAAGAACCGATTAATTCTTTCCCTGTGGGCTGCAGAGAAGGCACAGCAGCGCCCGAGATGGCTCCCTCCCACATCCCAAGCTGGCTGGCTCACTGTTCGTCCAAGAGTGCTTATTCTCTTTGCCTCCCAGTGTTCACCTCCCTTTTCCTTCAGATTGTCTTGACGATTAATACATGCACAGTCCCTGCCTATCCCCAGCTCAGCGTTTACTGTGCCAAACTCCGTGAATGCCTCCCAAGGTGGTCTAAAAGAAAATCACTCCTCCCTGCAAGCCTTGTCTTGCAGCACCTCTTCATCAGATCTCTAACGGCAGGGTGTGTTTCTTGTACCCAGGCACCTCAGTTCTTCTGCAGCGGGATTTAGCCTCAGTGTCAGCTGGAGAGCTGTCAGCATGGGCTGGGAGGAGGCAGGCACCACTGCACATGAGGAAAGGCTTCAGTGTGAGCTGAAACTGTCCAATTCCATCTTATGCCCTGCAAAGCCTCTGGGTGTTCGCTCAGGCTGAGGTGTTCGCCTGCCGGTGCTGCTCAGAGATTAGCATGCTGAGCTGAAAAGCCCTGCAAACTCAGCGCATAGTTTCACAGCTAATCTCTTCCACTGGCAGCTCACGTTGCCAATTCAGGGGCACAATCAGAAGACTGTGTGCCCTCGCCCTTGGATCCTGCCTCTCCACCCTGCCACATTCCTTGGGAGCCAGACCAATTTGCTACTTTCTTCAACTCTCCCCAGAGCAGGGCTGTATTACATGCCTCATTTCCTCAGCCACAGGAGGCAAGAAGAAACCCGGTCCAAGAATCCAGCCAGGCTCCCCTGTGCAGCACCACGGGTACACAACTAAGACCAGATGATCCCTGGCAATGAGTAACCCCTTAGGCTCCCAGTGGAGCCCCCATGGGATGGCTTCTAGCAGCAAGGAGAAGCCATGCAGCACCTCCTCCCAGAAACTTAAGTGACACTTACGTGGTATGCGCTGCTGCCGCCTCCACTGCCTCCGTAGCCATACTGACTGGATGCCCACTGCGCAGGAGTGGCATTTGGGTTCTGTCCTTGGCCTGTGACGGCAGCGATGGCACTGAACATCTGGGAGGTCATGTTCTGTGGTAGAGCATTCACTGCACGGGTCAGGTCTGCAAGAAGGACCTATCATGTTAGACAAAGCGGAGCCTGGAGAAGGAGCTCGCATCCCGATTCCAACCAGGAAAGGCCTGCACTGACCTGCCAGGTTAATGTTAGCTGGAGTAGCATTAATGGAGGCTGGAGTCCTGGTCCGACTGCTACTGCTGGGGGTAATACCTGTGTAAAATAGAAACCAAGAGAGGTAGATCAGTTCTGCTAGAAGAGCAGCTATTGGCCTGAAACTCAGGATTTGAAAAAACAGGCAACATCTGTACTGGCAAGATGCTATGTTAGCAGGGAATGGTGTGTGCAGGATTGTGTGGTGGGGAGGCTCAGGGAGAGGAAAGGGACAAGCGTAGCCTTTGCTGCACGGCCCACTCGGCTGAAAGTTTAACTCTCAGGAGAGCTCTCAGTGGGTCCATGGAAGTCAAACACCTGAGTGTTGCTTTGAAACTTTCCACATATAAAAAAATCCTAGGACACATTTCAGGAACAAAGAACATGAAATTGTCCTTTAGTAACTGTCCCTATTGTGCGACACCCAGGAAACAAACAGCTGAGGCACTCAAGTTTTGGGGTGCTTACCTGGAACAGGGTCCTGATAATGATCCTTAAACCATCGGAAGTGTCCATTCACAGTAGGGAAGACCTGCCCCCGGTAGCGGAATCCCTCTGGTGTCACTGTCACATACTCTATCCTGTGAGAAGCAGTGAATGCAGGAGAGCATAAGAGATCACAGGCTGCTTCAGAGCCACTGTACAGCAACCTCACACTAACAGGTCACAGCCAGAACAGGCATGGCCTACAAACTCAGGTGATGGCCGTACTGATATGAGCGGATAAGACCTGCCCAACACACTTTGTTTGTTTTCAAAGAACTGCTCCAAAATACCATGCCTTTTCATGCAAAATCTATCAATCACTGCCTATACCCCAGTTACACCC